TCTGGAAATCTGGAGATGTCTGAGAACAGTCCTACGATTTAAATTTTTTAAATTTTCGGAGGCTCCGAAAAATTTAAAAAATTTATAAAATATAAAAGCTTGCGATTTAAATTTTTAAATGTTTTGGAGCCTTGAAAAATTTCAAAAATATAAAATATAAAAGATTTCGATTTATATGTTTTATTTTTCAAAATTCTTAAAATTTTTAAATCATCTGGAAAACTGGAGATGTCTGAGAACAGTCCTACGATTTAAATTTGATTTTTTTAAAATTTTCGGAGGCTCCGAAAAGTTTAAAAAAAAATTCAAAAATATAAAAGATTGCGATTTAAGATTTTTAAATTTTTCGGAGCCTTGAAAAATTTTAAAAAATCAAAAAAGATAATTCGAAATCTTTTATATGTTTTAAATGTTTTAACTTTTTCAAGGCTCCGAAAAATTTAAAAAATTTAAATCGCACTCTTTTATATCTTTTAAATTTTTTAACTTGTTCAAGGCTCCGAAAATTTTAAAAAATTTAAATCGTAGGACTGTTCTCAGACATCTCCAGATTTTCAGATGATTTAAATATTTAAAAATTTAAAAATAGTATATTTAATATATATACATCCAAATTGATATAGTATATAGTTATTAATCTATATATTTTTATGTTAGCTTAAATTATCTCAAGGCAGACTGCGCGGCACATAGGGTATACTCTTCCCTCTTACGGGGGGCCCCCCCCCCCCTTCGAACAGAATCAACTCTTACAGGACCAAATTCAATGCACAATCCCAACTCCTGATTGTAATACATTTTTGCTAAAGCAAGGAGAACTCAGGTAGCTCAAGCTAACTTTCGTGACTTTCCAGCACTTCCTGCAAAGCCCGCGCATTGACCAAGCATACTCTGGTGAGCGTGCTGCACATCCCAGCCATCGTTTATGGCAAGCCGGCCAGAGGATCCACTGCACCTCATGTGGTGTCCAGGCACACCTGGACCTTGAAGGCCAGGTCATCCTCACCTCCTCTTTGAAGAAGGAATGCAACGGAGCTGCTATCCTAAGGAGGAGTGGTCTGCGGAAACCAGCAACACCGAAGAACACTCACCGGGGGTGGCACAGCCAACGCTGCACCAATCACTTCAGCGCCAGAAGATCCATGGGCCATGGTAATGTCCTTGTCCTCTGGTGTGTGCTGGTGGCGAGCAGGTGGGCACAGGGACACTTGAGGCACAGCCACTCTGACTGCTCCAAAGCCACGGACGCTCTTCACGGAACAGCCTGAGAACCCTGCGGCAAATGACTCTGAAACCACTGCGGATGACGGCATGGCTGTCGATTTCTTCTGAAGCCTCAGTCTGGCCCCTGCCCTGCCAACCTGGGGTAAATCCCCTGTCCAATACGGCCCTCTCGTGAGCCTGCCAGGCCACTTATATACATGCATACATACATAACATAACATAACATACCATAGCATAGCATAACATAACATAACATACCATAACATACCATACCATACCATTCCATTCCATTACATTACATTACATGGCATAGCATAGCATAGCGTTACAGTACAGTACATTACATTACATACATAGCAAAGCAAAGCATAGCATAGCATAGCATTACAGTACAGTACAGTACAGTACAGCACAGTACAGTACAGTTAAGTACATTACATTACATTACAAACATAACATAACATAACATATAATAACATAGCATAACATAACACAACACAACATTACATTACATACATTACATTACATTACATTGCAATGCACTACATTACATTACACCACACACATTACATTACATTACATCACATTACATCACATCACATCACATCACATCACATCACACTACATACATACATACATACATTACTTTACGTTACTTTACATTACTTTACTTTACGTTACGTTACATTACATTACATTACTTTACATTACTTTACTTTACGTTACGTTACATTACATTACATTACATTCATACACACATACATACATACATACATTCATACTTACATTACATTACTTTACTTTGCATTACATTACAATGCAATGCATTACAATACATTGAAATGCATAACAAAACAAAACAATACAATACATGACATTCCATTCCATTCCATTCCATTCCATACATACATACATACATACATAATCATACATATACATACTATATATATATATCCAAAGGTTTGCCTCCAATGTAGAGAAGTCCACTGCTCACTTAGGAAAGAGCTAGAAGCCAAGTCTGCTGAGAGGATGCGACATAGCATTGCATTCTCCTTGCATCACACAAAATGTTTTGTTCAGCAAGGGCTTCTCCCTGCCATACAAAAAATCAAGCTCAACTGGTCCTTGGTGGGATCTCGCTCTGAATAGCCTTCTGCCATGGCATACAAATCAAATGTTGCAAAGTTGATGTCAGAGCAACATTGTGGAATTGGAAGGAGCTTGGTTCAACACAATGTTTTCACTGGACTCCGGGCCCAGAGGAAAGTCTGTCAGCTGTTCGTACTAAAGCCTTACTTGCAACAGACCCACCACAATGACCAAAAAGTGATGCCTGAGTCAAAGAAGCCTCTTGCTTACAAGGCGCATTGTGTCAGTGTAGTCTACGCTTCAAAGCTAGTTGGCTAGGAATTTCAACTCGGCAAAATATCAGGCATGGCAGAGGCAGAGGCATACAAAAACAGGGACAAGTCTTCCATTCACAAACTTGGAATGCACATGCAGGCAGCTCTTTTGTACATCAGCATGCCAAATAAAGGCAAGTACATTGGCTGAGTAGCGGCTAGAGGTAGATTGACTCCAATCTGGCTCAGCGATTTGCGCAGCTTAACTTGTGTCATAGCTTCACACAAAATAACCAATGGTTAAGCACAACCGGAACCAGTATAGTTCAGCGATCTAATATAGGTATAAACGCAAAGCCACCAGGGAGTCTGCCGTGCACTGTGCCCTCAAGGGCTTGAAATTCAACTTCCCAGAGTGACAAATCCTTTTAACCTGTGCACCTGCAGCAAAAACCGAGTTCTCCATGGAAAACGTTGCAGAAAATAGAACCAATAGAACCAAGTGTTGGAAAGATCAAAAGATCGAATGCTATGCTGGGCTCTTTTTTGACAGGTCTGATTGTCACTCTTAGGAGATGGACCTTGAAGATGGCCGCCATGATGCCTTCTCGGCTTTATAGCAGAGTTCGTCAAATCCGAAGTCTGAAAGTCCTTCTCACCCTGTAGAATGACATAAAGATACATAAAACATATCAGCGATATTAACTGATCGACTCATTAAAATCACATCTATCAAAAAGGTATTGTAATCTGGTCATTCCTGAGGGTGTTCCTGTGATCCAGTGAAAGCTACAACCGATCACGATCTGACAGGGTTTCAAAATCAAGCTGTCCGAAGTTCAGGCTTGACATCTATGTAAACTGCAGAGTCTGTGATCAGCGCATGTGGGCATGTCACCCAACATGTTGGCTGTGCAGCGCGCAGAGTATGTTGCCTGGTAGTGAAAGAAAACTCCAAGGAGTGATCAATATGAAAAGGCGTTGAGAAAGCATATCGCACTGTAACCAGAATTGGCCTGTGCTTTCACATCACTCCTGGATACAAGGCCAACACTAGTAGGAATGGCGCTTCGTCAGAGCAGCACTTTGCAGATTGACTCTTGGCCTGCAACTATTTGTTGGCAGATTTCAATTCAACCGTAAACAAAACAGGCAGAATCGATCACAAGAACTTTAAGTTCCCACTGTGTGGTGGAGCATGCCAAGTTATGATTCAGTACTCTGGACACACTCTGGACCTTCTGACCAAATCCCAGATCCACACCCAGTCATTAATTGTTTGCTGTTCTGCTAGACGCATACACCCTCTCTCTGAGTCGAACCAATTCTGATGATTCCTGACAACAACTTACTGTCTTATTGTCATCTCGCTGCGCCTAGTTCTTCTTACGGGGATTTGTTGGCTCAAATGCACAGTGAAACAGCGAGCATCATTGAGCTGATGCCTAAGATAATCAGCTTGGGACCTATAATTCTTAATATGTATATGTATGTATATAGATATATATATATATATTTGTTTATGTAATTATATATATATATATGGTTTATGTTGATTACGACACAGTGCCTTCAGCACTTTCCCCCCCACAATTTGGTTTAGAATCAGAAGCAGAGACAGGAGCGGTGAAGGACAGAAGAGAAAGAAGAGAGATAGGAGGAGGAGAAGGATGAGGATCAGGAGGAGAAGCATAAAACAACCAACCAAGCAAGCAACCAACCAACCAAACAAACAAACAAACAATAAGCTAACTAACTAACTAACTAACTAAATAAATAACTAATAAGCAAAAAAACAAGCTCTTCGCTCTTGCAGTCACCGAAGACAGTTGCCCGTGGCCGCCATGCATTTACTGTATTTAAACCGCAGCCAGCCCCCAGTTGAGGTGAATCTGCGCCACAAAATATAAAGCAAGAAAAGGCCGACTTGTAACGCTGTGGGCTGTGCATTAGGATATTCCTGCGGCACCGGCACACAGGCCATCCCTAACCCACGTATACACTGTCACAGGCAAACTTCGAAGCTAAACAAACGGCCTCGGCCAGCCTTAGTGACAGATGATGTTCAATCCACTTTCCGTCCGAGTTTTCTGGTTGCCGAAGGTCTCTGTCTACAAGCTGCGCTTTTTACTTTCTCTCGGAGCTTTCTTCTCGCTGAAGGTCACTGCCTGGGTCACTGTCCACAAGCCTTGGGTTTTTACTTTCCTTCTGAGCTTTCTTGTTGCCAAAGGTCACTGTCTAAAAGCACTTGCCCTCCAAGCTTTCTGATTGCTGAAGGCCCTCGTGTAAAAGTTTGTTGTGCTTCCACTTTCCCTTCAAGCTGTCTCTCTGCCGAAGGTATCCGTGTGGAGCTCGTGATTTGTGAGGGCTTTGATGGTGGTCATGAATACAAGCCGGTTACCGAGGAATCAGTCCAGACTTTGTACCACTAAGTTCTTTGTGACAAAAGGTCACCAACGCCCATTGCTGCCTTGAATCCTCGAGTCTCTGCTAAAGAGCGTTTCGCGTGCTGTGACAGTGGCACTGGAGCTCCGAGTTAGTCCTGATACTACGATGCCAAGCAAGCTATCTCGGGCCCGAACGAACGAACGAACGAACAAAAAAAAAGTAGTAATAACTATAACAATGACAAAAAGAGAGAGAGAGAGAAGGAAACTGGCCCGCCGACTTTGTTGCATTAAACTATAGAATTTGTGACAACTTATGCCATTAAATTTGGCTATTCCCCGTTTCGGCCGCCAAGTTAGCTCAAGTAAGCTATGGGTAGGCGTTTATGGCGTCTATATATTGGGTGAACCACTGCCAAACCAAGGCAGTCGCACCCTCGCTGCATGGGCTACCACAAAAGCTAGCAAAAGTTTCATTTTGTTGAAGACAAAGGTGACAAAGGATGCGACTGTTGCGAGATGGCCCGGCCTTTCAGCTGTCTGCTGGTGGAGAGTTGCCAGCCCCAGCCGCATCTTGGCACAAACAGAGCAAGCAGCAACAACAATACTGCACAATCATTTGGACAAACTTGTCCTACAGGAGCTGACAGGGTCATATAATATATAATGTATAATATATAATATATAATATATAATATATAATATATAATATATAAATATATATATACATTTATAAAGCTGCAGAGCAAAAAATGTTCCCAGTGTAAAAGGTGAATGCTGGCAAGAAACAATCATTTGGCGTCTCTTCATCAACACGAGCACCCACCTGATCCGAGCGTATTGCTGAACAATTATACACAGCATTGCATCACACGTTGAGCTGAAGATCTGTTGGCAATTGCAAGGCACAACCTGATTGAGTGGACCACGAAATCTGATTTGGCCACCGGTGGTAGGTATCCGGCGGCACACCGTGAAATGAACGAAATGAAGGGTCCAAGTCTGTTCACTGCAGCTTCGAACTTGGATTGTGAGTGACACAAAGATACATGAATTGGGAGCCCAACGGCACGGCGCAACACAATTGAGCACATCTCGATACTAGTTACTAGTGATTGGAGAGTATTTGTGGAAGAACAATTGTTCACAACAGAGTGAGAGAGAGAGAGAGATGTGTGGCACGAAGGGTCATAGCTCAAATGTTCGTGCCGGAGATGCTTGGAAATAGAGAACAATGCTGAAAACACTTACCGACCAGGATGTGCCTGGAAGACCTACCGACCAGGCTGATGCACAGCGACTACTGCAGCAAGTCAGGGTTTGGATGAATCCATCGCCATCCCTCAAACAATGTGTTTGAGCTCTCCGGCTTAGCCTGGATGCTTTGTGATTGACTGAACTGCGGCTGTCAGCCACCGGAACCAGGCTCTGTTACTTGATAGAACCGCTGCCATTGCAGAAGCCGAGCTGAATCAGCCTTCGGTTCGATGTGAGAATCCTTGTGAGGCCGGTAGTGCAAGCAGCTCGTCGTGCATTGGAAATGAGCGTCAGCGTAAGAAAATAATGGGCCACTCACAAACAAAACAAACGAGTCATGAATCATGATTGCTACTGTAACAATCCCAAATAAATGTGTTCCCAGCAAGTGCCCCAAAGCAATGTCACAGCTTTGCCGGAGGCCTTCTTCCCTTTGAGACGCCTTTTTGGCGACAGTGGCAATGTGACAGTGTTCTTCACGGATTTTGCTGGTGGTGCCTTGCGGAAAGAAGAAAACGGTCAATGTGCAGCAAGAATTTTCAAAAACAAATGTGTACAACACATACAGTTACATGCAAAATCATATCAATATGTGGGTACGCACCTGTGATCACAAACGCAATTTTATGCACACCTGACAGGAAAAGTTTTTAGTTATATATAAACCAGGGTTTGTGAATGTTATTTCAAACATGAAGCCTGCTCTTAGTCAAGTTCATATGGAAAGTGAAAAGGTAATCAGGCAATCTCTTTCAAGCTTTGCATCCACAGTCTCAGGGCTGCAGCCATGTGTTACACACGAATCGATTTGCGGAGTGCATTCGGGTATTGTGGACCTAGCAATAGAAGCTTGCATGTGCTCCAGATGTGATCCAGGACCTCCAAAGATTCGCAAGTCCGGGTCTACAACGCCTGCAAAAACAAAACCCAGCCCATGAAAAATGACCTGTGTAGCTTCACTGCGGTTGGGAAGCAAAGTGGTCGGCGCGGCGCACGCAAGGTCACGCACCTTTTCAGCGGATCCAGAGGGCAAAGCTCCATCTCATCACGAGCCCGGGTCAACAGCGAGCCCACCATACATCACATCCTATTTGGCGGCGGCGACTTCGTGAAGGCTTCCAGCTTCTGAATCAACTTGGTGTTGTGCTGGCATTCATTCATGAGAAGCTGAGAAGCTTGTTTTCTGGCCCTTTCTCTGCCACAGTTCCTCTTCCTCCTTGAAACTGCAGGGTGACCAGCTGGGCGAGATTGCAGCTTTCCATCTCGCGCCGAAGAGGCGGCCTTGCGGTAGCCGAAGTATAAAGCTCTAGGCGCGCGCCATCAGCAGCGCAGCATCCGACGGTCCAGTCGACGAGCCCTTCTTGTAGTCATCATCAACCGCGAAATTATTATCCGGCTCGGCAGTTGCCACATGGATCTCCGCCAAGAAGACCCCACATAGAACTCTATCGGAACGATGGGTCTCCAAGATGGTTTGTAGTTGTGGTCTGTGTTTTTGGAGTGGTTGGCAGTTGTGGTGGGTCATGTTCACCAACACTTTTCTTCTTCGCGCTCTTGTAGGTCGGTTCCCAACATGAGCTTGACCCGTCCACGTCGAAGGCGTGCAAGACCGTCGGCGTATCGCCGCGCAGATATATCATTTTAAGGGCGCCGTCCAGGCATTGAAGCTGCTCCTTTGCAACTTCGATTTCCAAGCCAGTGCGCTTGCCGGACACTTCCTTCCTTGGAGGGCCTTGGTGTCAGTCACCAGAAGCGAGCTTCTCCACGACGTCTCAAAGCTTCTCTGGCAGGCGCAACAGGCAACGCCAGAACTTGCAGAGCCCTGCAGCGTCGGTGGCCTGTGGGCCTCAGCTGATAATGAGCACGGTATAGGTGGTTCGCAGAGAACACTTGGTCGGTGGTCAGCAGTGCCAGGCATCCTCCTTGCGACGACAGATCCTGTCACGCTCCGCGCACGGGCGGCATCAAAAATTATGATGACCAGACGGACATCATCCAGCGTGTTGACTGTCAGCAGTTCGTAGGTAGGCTGCACGTCGGAGTTGAGCTTGGCGAACTTGAAGAGCTGGTTGGCTTCATGGGCGGCGCGAAGTTTGCAGCTCTTCTGCACGCCAGCGATCTAGCTGGGAGCACTCTGGACAGCAGGCCATTGCAATAGGCAACCGTTGCCCGTTGCAGCCTTGGCGCACCTTTGGGATCAACACCGTTGGGCGGAGGGTAGTTGTAGTAGTACTTGCTTTTGCTAAAACCTTTTGCTTTTCTGTTTATTCCACCGCCAGATCCCTTGCAGAGGGCTTGAGTCATACCGCAAGCGGAAAGCCACGTGACATCTTCAGGTCTTGGAAGCGACGGCGAGCATCAACATAGCTGGCATAGTAGGCTTCATCGAACCGCTCGGTGTTGAAGGAAGTTCTGCAATGTCATCGTCTGCATTGGAGGTGTATGTGGAAGTAGACGGCCCAGTCGGCCCGTCCGTTGTCGATGTCATCGTCTTGGAAGTCGGCCTCATCCTGGCACATGGTTCTCATCGGTTCAGAGGTAGTAGTCACCGGCCTCGTCCACATAGTAACCACGGCCTTTGCCACGAGGTTGTTGCCCCATCTTGAGTCGATGTTGCTCTTGTAGTCCTGGCCAAAGATGGCGAAGAGAGGCTCTTGCCACACTCGAGTGGCGGGCCAGCTTGCGTCATCATCATCTGCCTTTTGCCTGCGAGTCAGGTGTGAATTCACTTAAAGGTGCCAGCCATGCGCCAATGAAGGCAGGTCGACTCCGCGCTTGGCGACGCGACGCAGGCATTCATCATGTTCGGTCACGAACTGCAGCAGCGGCCCAGGGCTCTCGAAGTAGGCGGCAAAGTCCATATTATGGCTTTGTTGATTGCGTTGACATGTGAACTGAGAGAACGGTCAAAGAGAGCTCCTTTTTCCAGTAGTGCGGGAAACATTGCCGGCGCAATGCGTCGGCTGCGGGTTGAGAAACAAACAACAATCAAAAGGCAATAATCTCCACTCTGCCCCCCGTTGCAACCATTAGACTGGAAACAGGAAGCTCGACCTTGTCACCGTACTGGAAGGACATGTCCAGGAGGTTCAAGACACCATCCATGGCGCCGATCTCATCGGCCTTGGAGAGGTCATAGTCCTTGACTCCTTGACAATTCTCCAAGCAGCACCTTGGAGACTTGCAAGGACACTGAGCACAGAGGTAGACATCAAAGAGGAGCTTGGTCACCGGGCCAACAGTCAAGTAGAGGTGCCAGGCCCGAAGAGGTAATCGTGGGAGGCGACGACGTAGAGTGGACGAGGTGAAAGGGAAGTTGTAGTCGGAGTTGGCAATGGTGTAGTCTGGAGGCCACCGCTCCGCTGCCCAGGTAGCTTGACTGGGGTTGGGAAGCAAAGTCGGGGCTCACAACGCCCCCTTCAACAACAGGTTGGTGCGGCGCACGCAAGGTCACGCACCTTTTCACGGCATGTCTTGAGGTAGTGTCTCACCCATCCTGTAAGAGGGCGGTTTGGACCAGAGTGGTCAACAATGGATACCCATGTCAGCATGTCAGTGACATGGGTGGCTCAGTCAAACTAACAACCAGAATTAATGTTTTTTAGCAACTGCTAGGACCTGCTAGGATCTTGGCTTCTGATCCGTTCCGTTTTCTTTGGATTCCGCTGATTTCTACGTTCATTAAACCTCAACTCTACTATAGAGCTAGTACTCTGTTCTTTTAGAATGGTATTTCTTCTTAGGCATTGCTCACCTTGTCAATGTTCACTTGTTCTTTGAAACAACAACAACAACAACAACAACAACAACAAACCAACCAACCAACCAACCAACCAACCAACCAACCAACAAAAAAAACACGACGACGACAACAACAGCAACAGCAACAGCAACAGCAACAACAACCTCTGAATTCATCTTACCAAGCAGCTTGGCATGGGGGGGGCCCTCTGTGTTTATACGTAAATATACGTCTACCTCAACACAAAGAAGGAGGTTGGTGAAGTAGAAACTTTCCAGGGGGCAAAAGAATGCCGGGTCTTTGTCTACCTTCCTCGAACACGCTCGAAGTCCACCGTGTGTGTGGTTCTTTGTTCCAGTAATGTTGAAATGTATTCAAGTCTTTCTGCATTCAAAGACTTCTGAGTGCCAAGGCCACCCACCATACTGAACTGATGCTGCCAGGTTTAAGTGGTACTTGAGCACTACTTAAGTAGTTGTGTACAGTTTTTTGTATCCCGCACTGATACAAAGAAAAGGGATGATGCTTGTCAGTACATGGAGCTATCATGCACAAAGTTCTGCATGGACAAATAGATTAATAGATTGATTGATTGATAGGTCCACACATCATCCGAAGAGTTTTATATAGTAGGTTTGCAAAAGGATCGTTGCTTAGTCTACACAGAGGATCAAGTGAAAGTAGTGATTTCATTCCAGTTACAGTATCTTTCATTTATCCAACATCTGGAGCTGGAAACAGGCCCAGTCATCTGTTGCCAAAGTAAGTGACCAGTTGGCCCTGCCCAGTTGCTAGTTGCAGACACATGACATAGTAATCACGAGATGTAGAAGAGTCATGTCATAAGGCACAAGCGCAAATTGCATACAATGTGTCGGGTTCACAAAGAGAAAAAAAAGGAATGTATTCCCACAGGGTGCCTTCCAAAGGCTAGCTTGTTGACATAAAGTGAGAGAGGGTTTTACTCACATGGTCAGTTGACAGTTAAAGGGATGTGATGTTACGTTCATAAGCCCGTGTTTTCGCCGATTGTTTCTGGGGACGTTGCAACCCTTTTGTTGAACTAAACACCAGAAACTGCGAGTGTTTTCAGTGTTTTCTGAAGTCCAGCTTTTTCGTTGGCGCCCAACTCTACGCATGTCAAGTACCCTGAGTTGCGCAAAAATAGCAGAAACGGTCGCTTCATGTTGTACATGATTTCTGTGAGATGATGATGGTAGTCGGTGGCTTCACACATTTTAGCTAAGACTTCGGGTAGTTTTATGTTGATCATTCTAAGAGGGCCTTGCTAAGAAGCATGGAGAACTTCATTGGCTTGTAAGCTTATTTGTCATGAACTCATTTGTACAATCTTGCGGCTAACAGTGGATGAAAGTCGTCTGCAGTTCAAAGGGTGGAGCAACTGCTTCAGTTGTTTCAAAGGACTTCAACCACTACAAGCTCGACTCCACGCCTTTATTATTTGCACTAGCTCCTCATTCGGTTCTCCTTTGATCCACTCTTCTGCATTGCACTCTATCCTGGCAGCTTGCAATTCAAATGCAGCTGGCACTATGTTTCAGCTTGAACATTGGTCACAAAACCAGTCCTGGTGAGACAGGTCTCACCTGAGTACAAGTCTGTGAAAGAATGGAGCTTGCACTGACACTCCGTGTTAAAACCGGGTCCTACAATTGAGGCTTAGCGGCTTCTGAGGAACAAGAAGCTACTAGCGGCAAGAAGCTACTAGGGGCTCTGGCATCGCTACTAGGAGCAAGGACGCTACTAGGGGCTCCTGGCCTTACTGCCAGGAACAAGAAGCTATTAGAAACAACGTTTCTCAAATTTGGATGTTCGGCTTCTGAGGTTCAAGCTGACCTCGGGCACAGAAACTGTTACGAGCCTCAGCTGTTCACACTGAATTCACATCAGTGTCCCTTGAAACGCTGAAAGCAAGGCTGCACCAAGGCTGCGACTCTTTGAACATTGGCATGATGACAAACTGGAGAAAGCCCTGTCACTCGTAAATTAAACAGGCGGAATAACTTGTGTCAGAACTTGTTCAACTGTTCAACAAGCCTTTTTGGTTTGGATCTGCTTTTAGAAGGTTGCATGGGACAGTTCTCGTTCCACACCAAGTCTGTTTGGCGACCTTCTGGGACTCCCGAAAGTCCGCCACGTTTCCAGAGCGCCTTGAAAAGTGTAGAGATGCAACCGTTTTTGCAAACAGACATGATTTTTTGTTTCCGTTTGCAGTAGTTCAGAACACTGTTTCTTCCGATGTTGACGGACCCATATCCTGGTATCATATCCTTCTTTATCTTTCTTAGTTGTGCGTTCTCATTTTGTTACTCCTGCCAAGTTATTTCTCCTTCACTGCTGAATCACCACGTTGGCCAATAATATGGCATCAATCTTTCACAATGTGTAGAGTTTATACTATATATGTACATTGAGTTGATCATTTTTCTCCAGGGAAAGCCTGAGTCTAAGGTCTCCGACTCACACATCGGAGACACTGGAATATTGAGCCATCGCTCTTCATCTCCCTGCGGTAAAGAAAAATGATATTCATTGCATCTGGTTGCAAGAAGTGCTTTGCAAAGTAGCAGGAACTTCTTCACTCCTGCTCATAAAACTCGTTGAGCAGTCTGAAAGCCCAACCTCAGAAATAGAGAGAGAGGTAACCTAAATTCACACCCTTAAAGCTGTAGGTCTTGTGTATTGTTATGTAGCAGGTTGAGGTATAAAAATTGGAAGAAACACATAAAGAGGAGACAATTAAAAAAGATAAGCACATAGGTGCATATTCAGGCATCTGAGGGCACAGCGTTCGTGCATGTCAAAAGGAAGGGCTGCATGACCAAGGTCGGCGGCCTACAAACACAAACGCTGTTGAGCTTTGTTTTTCCGTCTCATTCTCAACTGTCTTTCGGAAATGCATCTGTTCCATGTTATCCCTTTCTGACATTCTCATTGGTGTGTCTCTGTCTACGCCTTGAGATAACAGTGCGTGACAATGCGTCTATCCTCGGCATTGTCCTGCTAAAAGCTCTTGGCAAATGCTGTCTCTATTGAAGCAGTGCACATGAGTCCTGCAAGTTAAAGTCAGATCCAGCTACCCTTACCTTGGCTCTGGCATTGGATGCTGCATCTTCGCCATAGAATCTCTCTTGCAGTGTCTTGGGCCTACATTCATCTCAGCTTTGTGCACGAAACTTTCCCAGGAAGTCGAAATGAGTGGCCATGTCAGTGGCCAAGATCAGACTAACCTCAAAAATGTTTGTGATGAGTGATGGAGAAAAGAAATGAACAGTATCGACTCTACAAACGCATTTAAACCATGTCAAGCTCTTAAGCAAATGGATGGAGCAAAAGTCTCCACACGCATGCAGTCAAACTCTTGTCTTGCTTTGAGCTGAACCATTCGCTTTGCCAGACTGAGTCATCCAGCTATGTGGTCTCGATATAACCGGCGATTTTCCCTGACAGTCAAGTAAAAAGGTCTGGAGTGTGAAAACTTTGGAGCAGTTGTTACAGACCAAGTTTTGAGATTCTTCAAGCAAAGGAGGGTACTACAAGTCTAGGCTACATCAGGTACGAGTGCAAAAAATGCAACAATCATCAACAATCTTGTTTGCAACCAGACTTTCCTCTCTCTGCAGGCCTAGAGGAAGGGCCAAGGATGTCACAGCCCAAAATCTGGCAAAGAAGAGAGAGAGAGAGAGAGGGAAAATCAACTTTTCATGCTCAATTGATTGAAGTCGGATGTGCATGGTTGCCGCAGGTTGCCTTCATAATTTGAAAGCATGTCGCTGAGTGCCTCAGACACAACACCCTGTCAGGATACTCTCATTCTTGCCATTTGGTCAGTGTCTTTGGACTTTGTTCCTAGCTGCCCAAAACACGACCGCATTCTAGGACTTGTGCATGTTTTCTAAGATGGCACGGTCGTTGTAGATCAAAGCCAAGTCGTGGCTCGCACTTGAGCAAAACCTCAATGAGACCATGCAGAAATAGTCACAGTTCTTTCAATTGTTCGAGTCAATGACAGTCGACACACAACTGTTTGAAAGAATTTCCAAATCATTTGAAAGACATTTGGAGGCCATGGCTATTAGGTTGGAGGCCATCATGTTGGTGTCAAATCTCAGGTGATGACGCATTGTTTCGGCCAAAGTGACCCACATCATGTGCCAAGGCTGCAATGTCGGTGGCCACGTGCCTTGCGCAGAGACAAAATGTGGGAGCACATCCACATTCCCAGTGGGCCTTCCACTGATACTTTTCAGATATGATATGGTCAGGGTCCAGCCGAAGCCAAGGCCCTTGCAGGTTTTCACCCATGGCTGTGTATGCTTTGCCTCACCACGTCAATTTGAGACTCACACTGTTACGCAAAGATACATAGAGCGAGAGAGAGAGAGAGATAGGAGCCACGCAAAAAACAAAGAAGGAATAATTCGATGCATGTCAGTTCTACTCAGGAGCCCGCTTCGAGTTCCAAGCCAGTGCCTCAACTTGCTTTCTTCCCGACAAGATCGCGTCAGGTGGGAGCACTATGTGTTTTGTGTCTAGCACCCTGATGAGTTGTGTTTCGCCTTTCGTGTCAGTCAACTCCGATGAAATCTATAGAAAGTCTTCAAATCAGAGCGATGGCCAAGCAATTTGAATGCAACCATTTGATGACAATGCTGTATTGATCTGTTCACACTGCACGTTCTGCAAGAATCACCGAGCATCCAAACGTGGAATGGCAAACCACAGCTGCATGTGCTTCATTGTGAAAAGGGTTTTGATGCTCCTGGGACAATGCAAGCAGGGAAAGAAGCATCAAAGCCAAAACATCCAGAAGAAAGGCACATTCCCTTTCCACATTGAAAATACTGCTCTAAACTTCAAGCTAGAAGTGTGCACACTGGAAAACCTTCTAGCTCGTTGATGCTCCTTCAACTCGTTTCATTTACTTGGTTCGTAGAGCAACCGCAGAAGTGTCAGCGGTTTCTGGCCTCGTACTTCCGGTGGAGCTCAGTGACGAAACGACGCATGGTCCGGTCTGTGGTCCTGCCCAAAGCACTCATAACATGCAATGTCCATAATGTCCCATGTTATGTAAAGGGGTCCTTCATCAATCCCTTCTACAACTGACATTGGAAAGCAAACCTCCAGCATCGGTTCCTTCTGCTTTAAACATTCTAGAGTGAACCATTAATTAGTCAGACAATATATATATATATACAGATAGAGTAATTGACTCAACAAGCTCAGAAATCAGTGTTTACACAGCGTGTTTCAGTCCCCAGGACTTCAGCTTTTGGAATCACCAACTGGCAAGCCATGCAAACGCCCACCGAAACAAGTGAAGGTTTGAAAGGAATGCGTGAATGTCAAAAGAAATTACACGAAACCTGGAGCCGCTGCAAAAACTGACCAGGACATACCGATGCACGTAATTCCAAACGTGGCTGGGTTGGCAGATTCTGCTAGGGCAAGCAAAGCGCGACCTCAATAATCGGCAAAGAGGCACAATCATGAAGGCTGTGAAAATATGTCTCAAAGCACGATGAACCATCTAGCTGGCACCATGTTAGTTTTCAGTGACAGAGAATACGCTGCCCCAAAAGAAATCAATCTCATTCACGCTCTACTTTTTAGCCGCACGAAATCCATCTGTCATCGTAAGCGCTGCTTACCAGTCTGAAAGTATGAATATGTTTGAAACCATTTCTCCACAACATTTTGGGATGTTTTTCCGGGAGTGCTTTAGAAGCAGTAGGAAAGGGAGACAGAACGGGAGGGATTGAGAAAGAGAGCAGGAGAGGGAGAGAGGAGGGAGGGAGGGCGGAGGGAGGGCGGAGGAGAGAAAGAATGCAAAGGAGAAGGAGCAGAGAGCAAAAAGGCCTGAGAATAGAGGAAACGCTGGGATTTCTTTGGGGGTGGCTTCTTCGGGCTTGGTTTCGGGTTTCACACCACTTCTTTTGCATTTCTTTGGGCTTTGGCTTAGGGCCTCATTTGTTTGCTTCCTTCCTTCCTTTCTTCCTTCCTTCCTTCCGTCCTTCCTTGCGTCCTTGCTTCCTTGCTTCCTTGCTTCTTTGCTTGCCTGCTTGCCTCCTAAGTGGCCACTCACAGCAGCGCCAGGAACAGCACAGCAGCATGGGGCATACAGCCCCAACGACCGTGAGCAGCAGATCAGTCGAAACTGAAACGAAAAGCAAAAGCAACTAAAAGAGCAAGAGAAGCCACCAGAAAGAATCCATCAGAAGGCGACCAAAAGCAAGCGAGCATGCCCTCTACAAGTCAAAGCAAAGGCAATAGAAAAGGAGGAAAACAAAAGCAAACAACAAGCAGGACAAGCAGAAACAAAGGCAAGCAAAAGCAAAAGCAGATGCAACAGCAGAAGCCAAAGCCAAAGCAAAAGCCAAAGCAAGCAAATGAAGAGCAAAAGCAGAAGCAGAAGCAAAACACTACTGGAAAAAGTTCCCAAAACGTTGTGGGGGAAAAAATTGTTCCAGTTCCAGCCTGAAATGCATCAATTCTATACCTCCAGCTAGAACCCTTCCTGTTTTAAAAATGACACGGGTAGCATGCAATGAAATGATACAATGTACAACCGTAGACATAAAGTGAGATGGTCTTCTGACCAACACTTCTCAGGATCTTTCAAACTCCCCCGGTGCGTCATACAGTGGATGTCTCGAAAAACAGGAAGTTGTCTATACTTCAGGAGGAAGAATGTGTTTCTTACCGCGTCTTACCACATCTATGTGGATGACCCACCGCCGAATTAAGAAGTCTATTTCGCGTGGCCAGTGTGGGACGGTCAATTATCACCCTCTTTTGGATTTATAACCTTTATATAAACAGCTTTGGAGGAAGGAAATTCAACAGTATCAAGTGAAAGTAATGACTTGCAGGATTCTACAGGAAAAGGGCGTTGAAAGGGTACGGTATTATTTTAGAACCGTCAAAACGAAAAAGAATTGTCCTAGTGGTGTATAGAAAGATGCAAACTAGAAAAAAACGCGGCCATTGCTAGTAGGTTGGAGGCCATCGCTAGTAGTTTCTATTGTTTCTATTTTCTAGTAGATGCTATCTAGACTTTAGGCATCTTTAGGCTCTAGGCCCAAGCACCTGAAGCAGTGACGAGGGCGGTTGCCTGGGTGCCCAACGACCTGTGCGCTCATGTAATGCCAGGGCGTCCAATACCCAGTTCTGGGCAGCGCCTGGAAGCTCTGTAGCTACCCGGTATGATCGGTATGCGGTGTTCAACTACTACATCTAAAGAACACAGCCAAAGAACCAGAGCAGTGAGCTTGAAATTGTATGTTAGTTATGAAGGTCTCCTTGATAGGTACAGTAGAGCATCTTGCTGGCTTCTGGTCTGTACCCATTACTCTTGCTTCGTCCAAACTCCAAACTTGTGTGAAACTGGTCCCGACCGCGACGTCCAACATCACGCAGGCGTAAGCGCGGGTAAGCTCAAGGGCCCTGTAAACCCAAATGGCGGCGGAATGCACCATGGACAGAACTCGGCTGTACACAAGATACCAACAACAGGGAAAATTCACACTCAACCTGTTCTTCGAGTCTGTCCGGAATCTACGCACAATTCCGCCAACTATACAGGAATTTCTACAAGGAAACTACTCGTAGTGCGTTCTCCGTTCAAGGTAGTGACACTTCTCTTCTTCGGCAAATCCATGCTCTTCTACGAATCATCGTTCTGCTCGTCGTTTCTCCTTGTTCTTGTCAACTTGGTAAATGCACGATCGAAGGACCGAAAGTAATAGGTCCGGCTTCATGCTCTTGGTCAAACAATCACTCAACATCGTGTGAGCGCTGATCCAGTCAAGACGATCTCCTCCGTTCGGGAAAATATTCCATGTCCTCTGCGGTCCTTGCCACAAGTTCTCATGAATTGCGGCCAACTCAATCCCTAGTCGCTTATCGGACACCTTGGCAAGTGTCTCTGCGTCGAGGTGATCGCATAGCGAACGGCAATCCGAAAATTGCAAACGCGGGACACAGGATCTCATAACGGATTCCCAGTCCTTGCGGCTGCGCAAAAAACCCTTCGTCTCAGCGATAAGGGCACGGATCTTGTCTCCGCTCTCTATACCGGGTTGCAACGAATATGTCTCGGCTTGGAGAGTCGAACGACACACTCTCTTGATGGTCGTGGACGAAAAGCCTAACGGCAGCACATGGTAAATGTACACATTCTCATCCTTCATCTGCTCCACATTGGCCAAAAAGGCGCGCACGTCCTTGCTGCGACTTGAAACCTTTCTCATTGCAGAATGAAGCATCTGCCACGGTGATTATACCAACATTGCGCCAATCGGTCGTCTTCAAATGATCTCTTGGAAATTGAAACACGACATCTTCGAGTTGTTTGCGCGCCAAATCGACTACGTGCAGGAGTCCAAACGGTCGCGCCGTTGATCGCTGTTTGAAGATAGCTGATGCGGTACGCCAAATCAGGACGTCCCTGTCTTGCTACCCATGCCAACGAGCCAACAACAGATCTCAACTTCGTGATTTTGATCTGGGCTCAATTTGTCTGACAACTTCTGGCTGTTGTCCACTTTGATTTTCTTGATCGTTCTGGTGTTATCCTTTGTGTGGGTAAACAGCGTTGCGTTCTGTTCACCAAAAGCTTTACCGCAGTAGCGGAAGTTCGTCTCCTCCAATGAACCTAGTTCATAGGAACCTAACAACGAATCCATCACTTCCTTTGCTTCTGGCAAATAGCTATACAACAAGTCATCAACATGTGTTGTCAGCATGGCAACGCAACGGTTCTGCTCATCGAGCTTGTAAAAGAATGCTGGGTAAATGATGCTTGGAGTAAGTCCAGCCTTCTTGGCGTCTGACGACAAACGAAGCCAAAATGATCTTCCACTGTCTGTGAGTCCATACACGGGAACTCGTACCAACAGTGCGGCGTGCGGATCAACTTGAGGCAGTCCGCCTCGTGGCTGTCGAAGGAGGAGTACTCGATCCAATGGCTCTGACTGGAAAAAAGCATAACTAACATCTGCGGAATGCAATTTGGTTCCAACAACGGAAGCCCATGCAGTAATGATCATGTGCAAATCGCTATCTCCGGTCGGAGAATCGGAGCGAATGCCTGTTCAAAGTCTCCGCGCAACACTAATCGGCTCTTCCACTTCGGCTGATAATCGGGCGCGTGCTTCTTGAACTCATTCTTGTCCACGTGGACCCATTTGCTGGAGATCATGACATGTCCTTGTTGCCACAATACGTCTTTCTCGGCTCCCATTCCTTTTTTCCATTGCTTTGCGAAGCCCTTCCTGGGTCTCTGGTGGCGCTGTCTCGAAGTCAATGCTACGAAGCACATTTCTCATTGTCTTCGGTGTACTGTGCCAAAAACCCAGCTGCTAGACTAGCAGTTAATTGTCGAAGGATCCTGCTCTGCAAGCTGCGAAGCTCTTTCCAAATGTTGTCGGATCGAAAGCGGCAAATCGTCCAAATTGCTTGCTACATTCGGCCATGATGCTGGAGTCTCACTTGATGATCTTCTCGAATCTCGCGATGGCTCTGACTCCGGCTCTCCAGTCCTTGGACGGACGGCTCTTGGCGACAGACCGGCTGCTGAGGACGCAGGCCTCCGGCGCGCTGTACCTCTTGACGCGGCCGAACTTGGTGTCTCACCGAGATCTCCGGCGTCTTCACTGATGTCTTCTCCTTCTTCTTCTCCATCAGGAACTTCTCCAAAGATCTCAGGGCTAATCTGCCAGATGTCACTATCCTCTTCCGGAACAGGCGGAAGTCGTTCCGGCAAATGGTCCTTCTGCGGCAGGCTGAGGTGGCTCATCGTCAACCTCTTCATGGCCTCTCATGCGAGCATCTAGAAACGATTGTTGACTTGTACCTTCTACAATCTCACCGGGAACAATCGGATCACCATGCAGAGTGCTAAGGCCTCGGATGCGGTTGCAGGTCGGACGTTTTGGGCAGCTACCAAAACAGGAACATTACCACAAAGCAACCGCTGTGCCCATTGTTCTTCTGACACAATGCTTGGGGCCTCCCGAGGTCCTTTGCCTAAAGCCCATTGGCTTGGTGAAAATCCTCCAACTCGATTCTGCTCATTCTTCACCATACAGGCTTGAGACAAAGCAGTCTCAACCTGTTCTCTGCCTTGAATTTGGATTTCATGGCAAATCTTGCGATACATGCCTTTGAGCAATCCTCCATGTCTCTCAACACGGCCAATCCCTTCAGAAGATTCCAGCGGGGTGTGAAAAACAGGAATGTTGCGCTCATCCATGTATTTCTGCAAAACTCCTCGGTTGTGCAACCCTCGATCGCAAATGATCTGCGCAGGGTGTCCAGCCCACGAAAACCAACGCTCTTGCAACGCTTTCAAACAAGTACTTGATGAACACTGGCCTGGGCCTTGCCTCACAACATGCGCTAGCTGAAACGTGGTTCCAACACAAACCATGTTCAAAACTTGGAACTTGGCGCCATCAATGTCAATCACTTCGAACAAATCAATGCCCAGGGTGTGATTGAACCTATAATCCCATGGCAACTGCGTTTTGTGCGTTGGCTGTTTCAGGCTGGTGTCTTCACACGTTTGGCAACGGTGCAATCGAACGGCTTTCACGAAGTCCTCATGTACCTTAGCTGCGCGAAGAAGGTTGATCAAAACCTTGCGAGGGACATGGCCAAACCGGTGGTGCAAACGTCTCACACCAATGCGGACTCTCTGAGGAAGCTTGCCCCACTGGCGACGCCTTTCAGACTCCTCAAGAGGTATAGTCCTGGGATGTCCACTTCATCCAACAAGGTCTCCTCTTCGATCAGCTTGGGACAGGGTTTACGGTTCCTACATCTTGCTCTCCTTCCACAACATCCATGGTCGGAAGGTGTTCAACACGTTCTTCACGCACGAAAGCAGGGCATGCAGTAGACAGCAAATCCGTCACTGTCAAATCATGAAGCAAATCTTTCAACCACGAACCCATGTCTGAAGACAGTACATGGTCCATTGTTTGCCTTGGCTCCAATCTTCAAAGCTCTTTTGGACTTGTTCATCATTGCATGTAAAACCCAAATGATCAGTCAAGTACGGGGTCTGTTGCGAAACACGCTGCTCCCTTCTCGTGGTGATGGATGAATCGATGCGCAAAAAGCGAGTCCTATCATCTGCCTCTGCGTGCATTTCGAGCTCATGAAGCAATCTTGCGTGTCCTAATGGGGTCTCATTTCCAGAGTACCCAATGGCTACCACAATGAAATCGTGCTGGGCGAAAATCTCGTGCCAATTGACCTCTCCCGGCATTGCTTCGAAGTTGCAACAGTCGTGACCGGCATCCAAGACGTCAAAGTCATTGTCCTGGAAAACGGATGGATGGTCAGTGATGATGCAAACAGTGGGAGGATTGGCGTCAATGGATTTCAACCCACAAAGATACTGCACACAGTGGTCATGGGTGCTCAGGTTTTCTAATCCCTCCATGACATGCTTGCGACGCTTCCTACTCAAAGTCGTTCTTTCTTCCGGTGCAATTGCAACGAATGCAGCCGCGAGGTCTGCTTCGGGCGACTCGTTTGTTGAGGGTGGCGCAAAATCATCTTCCTTGTCAATGGGTGATTCCACATCTGAATCGCTCGGGTCCAGGTCAATGGTACCCACAAATGCAAAAGGTTCGAAACATGCGAGGTTGCAAGGGGTTCTTGCACACGTCGGCAACGAATCGGCTGTGGTGGATTCCGTGTCCGACGAACCTTCTTCCTTGAAAACAACCCTTGGCAAAGCTTCTACAAGTTTGATACGCAACCTAGACGGCTTTGGTGGAATTGGTGGTGTCCTAACACAAAGTCGACCAACACTCTCCTTGGCATCTGAGCGCAAAACTTTTTCACCTCCGGCATTCGACGGTGGATATGCGAACGTGATCATGTCGGACCACGAGTTCTCGATGTTCTTGCGCTGATCGATCTTGAACATGTGCTCAGCCAAATACTTAAGGCCCTGGCGGCTCAGTGTCGGTGTTCCTCTCACGAACAAACGTGGTCTTGAGCCAGCCACTCATGGTGTGGCTATTGAAAGGCACATGGGTGGTCTACGGATGTTCACACGAACACCTTGGTGATCTTCTCCATCGCACAACGACGGTGATTCATCATCTGCGATCCACAGAGTTCGACCACGGTTCTTGTGGCGGCGGGCCAATGCGACAAGTTC